TGGTCCCTACTTCGGGGCAGGCGCCGACTGCGTGTCTTCGGCTCGGCGAAGAAGCGGTTTTCTTCGCCGAAATGGCCGAAATTCGTCTCTGCTGGTGAAAAGCATCTGCCTCGACACCCCCGATACCGAGCTGAGAGCCCTCAGCAAAGCAACACCCTGGGTTGTACAGCCGGCAGCGGCTGTGCGGCTGTTCCCTCATCCTGTCCCACACATGCCAGACGATACCCAAGGGTGTGAGAGTGGGTTGTATAAAATGTGGGGTTTTAAAGTAATTCAGTTTGCACATTAACTGTGCCAAATTTTGCGAAACATTTGGTCGAAATCCTCTGTTTCTGCACGTAGGCAGTCAGTGGCTCACCCTACACGTGTAACAGCGGAACAGGAGCAGCACCGAGGGTCCCCGAGACCCCCGTTGGCATAAATGGAGCAGTGCCCCGCTGTTTTGGGGAGCAGAGCTCCAAAGGTCCTGCTGCCGCCCAGCCCCGGGAAGCTGCACACCCAGGAAAACAGGCTGTGTTGCTTTGTGGTTTAGTAAGAACCACTTGTAGAACCAGGAACGTGTACCTATGGAAGAATCAGCCTTAGACGTTAAAGGGGTGTGAGGGGTCTGTCTTTACGTACACACAGCGATATGTGAACGGCCATGACTGAGAGGGCAGTTTGGAAATTTGAGTTATTAAGATTAAAATCTATCTTATAAACTCTGCCTGAGAAGAGTCAGTGTGCATGCCAGCATATTTTGCTTCATTTCAGACAGTACCTGGGTACATGCATAAATTAATATTGCGTGTTAATTTATCACTGAGGGAAAAGGCTGGACAGGTGCCCTGTCTCCAGCAGGGCCGTGGCAGCACAGGCTGGGGCAGCAGTTTCCCTCTACTTTGGAGAGGAAAACCCTGCACAGGTCTGACCAGGCGATTCATTTTGGAGCTCTGCATGACCCTCACTCCCATAAACAGGTCCAGCAAACGTCCCCAGAGGCTTGTAATAGCGACACCTGCCCATCTCATACAGAGCTTCTGGTGCTGTCACATAACCAGCATGACAGCGTTCCCCTGGGACAGAGTCACAGCCAGCAATTCAGCAGGGAAAGTTGGTGGCCTACTTTGCTTTCTTCAGCCACTCTTTCTGGGATGATCCTTGTTTTAGGGCAAACAGCGACTTGGCTAACCTCCTTTCTGGGAATGAGAAATTTCAGTGTAAAAGGTTGTGGAGTGCACAATGCACATGAGAGAGGAGGGTGAAAAACCTCCTATAAAGAAAAGCTGTTGTTTAAGGACTGCATTAATGCTTTAGTTAATAGAGCTAACTTCTCTGTAGTAAGCAACAAGTCTTCATACAGTGATGAAAGAGCATGCAGGTATACAGCCAAATAAATGAAGTAGTAATTTCAAGCCTCAATAAATTGTAACAAGTAAATTAGGCATATAATGTAAAATAATCGGTTTTACCTTGCAAATTTGAAAGGAGAAACTGTCCATGTCACTGATTATGATGAGTAACTTGCTAAATCACTGTAACTCAAGTGCACCCGGTCACAACCTAGAGAGACCTTATCAAAACTGTTCAGGTGGAATATTTTTCTGTCAGAAGGTGTTAGGCCATGCAAAATGGAGATGTGATGATTTCAACACACTTTTACATTCAAAAATCAAAGCGCAAACAGGAAAGTATTTGTTCTTTCCTGTATTTTTTATTTCGAATCTATTTTGTTAAATTTATAAATTGCATTTATAACTTTGAATAAAGATTGTGTTATTTTTATGTTTTAAAATTTTTGTTTGTTCATAACCTAACACAGCTAAAAATAAAGCAAGGACAGATAGCCTGAAGGCATCAAAATAGGATATTGATAACAGAATTTTTTTTTTCTTTTACTTTGAAGGACATTTCAGACTTTTAATTTTGTTCTGCCTTTTAGTGACTTCTAAGGATAGAATTTTTTGCAGGATGACAATTCAGCTTCAACCAGCTGTAGAGTGAGAGTTAACATTTTTCTTTGAAGACCTGAGTCCAAATGGTTGTTTAAAGTGTGAGTAAGAAGTAGTTTGGTGATGTTGTGGTAATGTCGGGTTACCATCTGTCACATTTTTTCTGGGATCTGCTTGATTGATTCCTAGCAAATCACTTCCTGCAAGCATTATTTGCAAAACTTTATTATGGGCAAAGGCTATTTTTGTGTTCATGAGCCATCGTTACCAGGGAGCATTTCATTACCAAGTGATGACATTCTGTAAAATATCCTGATTCATGGGCAAATGCCAGCACCACTTCTTGACAATGGGTGCATCTTACTCAGTAGCCCCCAACAGATGTCAACCTTAAAATTTGTCAACTTCACAATAGTAGCCCGTGTTCTGACATCCTTCAACACGTTGGGTGCTCTGCTGACAAAAAGCCTATTCCACTGAAACCCCAAGTAGGTTTATGCTTAAGAAAGAATTTCTCCAGAGGTAAGTGGGCAGGTTGAGCAATGACTTGGTCACTTTGTCTGGCCTGGATTGTTCCTGCTGCTCCCCCACGCTGAGCACCAAGGCACAAAGTACAGACGGAGTGAAGCAGGACACAAATCCATGAGGGTCAGAAGTCCACAGCGTGTTCCCAAGTCTGCCAGCGAACTTGCCTCATGACCAGAATATATCCATTCAAATTTCTGTGCCTTGCTTTCTCCTTCTGTAAAATGAAAATCCCAATTTTTAAAAGCATTCCTAGTGTTTATGCACCAAGCCCAAGTGTGAAATGCTATTGCAATCAGAACAAATATATCCTCTGTCAATGTGCTGTAAAAGGTTTAACTGTGGTGCTTATTTAGGTCCTGATCTTATAAAGATTTAAGCCCACTTATGAATGTGAGTAGCCCCGTGGAAGACTAGATTACACATGCACTTAAATGTTATCAGATTGAAGTCGTAGAACAACAATCACAAAAGGTACTTAATCACCTTTAAATTACAGTGTTCCTAATTTAGCTAATGTTATTCCCCAAGGAAAAATTGCCTCATCTAGCATACAATCAAGAAAGAATCAAGGGCTGTTCCTTCAAGTGGTTGACAGTTCAAAAAGAGATATGATTTTAAAAGAATAGGTTGCTAAAGGCTGAACTATTTAATTGAATTATCTCTTTAAGAAATTGATGCAAATTAATATTATAATACTCCATTATATTGCTACAGAATCTTTCATCCTTGAGCCTTCATAAACTATATTAATAAACTCAAGTAGCATATGTATACTTTTTTTTTTAACGAAACCAGTAATCTGTCCCCATTTGAGGCTTTCTAATAACGATTTATATTTTGAAGGATGATGGTGTTTTCTTCTTTATAGATTGAGAAAAAAGAGCCCAAGAGCTTCCAAGGGGTGGAGTCCCTGACACGATATGCTCCAGTCCTCGAGGTGCTCACAGGGTACAATCCTGCTCTGTCTATGAAAGCAGATAAGCTCACTTTGCAATGCCTAATTGGAGAGAAAGGTACGATAACAGGCAACAAAGCCAGAAAGATGACAAAAGGAATTGATTAATCCATTTGAGACAGTTGTCTCAATAGCATTACAAATATTAGATAGTGACCCTTCCCTATCACTAGTGAAAAATCTGTATTATATTGTTCACTGGCCATACATGGAGGTGGGGACCTGGTGAAGGAGAATTCCCCTTTTTTCATAAGCATATGCTTACAGTATTGCAGTTTCAGAACAGGAGAAATAACAATGTTGTGGTTCTCCAGCTTTATCTGGGTTATTTCTATGTCCCAAATTGTTTTTAAATTACCAAGTAGCATTACTGTAGTGGGGGTACCTCTGCAATCGTTTCTGCTTGCTGCTTGCTGGCAAAATAACAGCTGTTATTGCTTTACCAGGATTGATTTCCATAGAACAGCTCCATCTAAAGCCTACCTACAGGCAACAACTCTGCAGTAAAATATCAATGCAGTCTCATTTTCGGCTTTTCTCAGAAGGCAAAAAAAAGGCATTTTCAGCAAAGTTCAACATGGGATGTAATTTATTCAGGACACATAGAGGACGAGATGCTTATTTTTCAGGGACTAAAGTAGTCTTCCACTACCCTCCTCACCAACAAATAGGGAAGCTGCCCCTAGGTATCTCTGTGCACAAGCCACGAAATCTGAGAATCGGGGTTTGTGTGTCATATCAAGGGGTTTGCAGAGAGGCCACATTTTAAAGTAGGGGGCAGGTGATATGTTCTTGTTCACATGTACCATCTCAGGCTGGTAGATCACAAAAGGAGCTGAGGTCTATCACCTCCCTCCAAGCAACACTGCTCTTAAAACTCTTCCACGATTAGCCTCAGTAAATGTCCGAGGGGGTTCCCATGGACAAGGTTATGTGGGCGCTTTCATCCCACGCAGGTCTGGAGTGGCACCAACAGTGTATTTCCACATTCACTGTTCAGCCACAGCTCCCTCCCTGCAGCATCCCTGTCACCAGCACCGGAGCTCAGGCAGCCATGTGATGGGTCACTCAGGG